CCACTCTGGACGGCCAATGAAGGCAAGCCAGAGGTGGGAGACCTGTTCCTTGTCATCGTTCACTCCAGCCAGCCAATTAAGGCAAGCCGGAGAAGAAGGAACGGTGACTTCTCCCTGGAGCACTCGGGATGATGGTAGCCCGCGGGATCGCTAATGCCCGTCACCTCGCCTCAAGGTGCCCTGCGGGCTTATATTATTATTATTATTATTATAGTTACTAAGAAACATATATTTTTAGTATTATTTATGTACTCATATATAACATCGGATTTCATGCCTATAAATAGACGAAGACTTACATGAATAGTATAGGATCTATTATATTATGTAACATTGCTACATACTGTCATTTCAACAGCTTCAACGAGTTTGCACCAGTCATAGTAAAAGACCAAGTATACCGCCCACAAAGAGTAGAATTCAAATTTACCTGTTTCTACGGAGTCTTCAGAAGTACATATATATCGTTGAAGTACATTCATCCCAGAATCAATCAATATGGTTTTTCCAAACGGTAAACAAAAATTAAAAATGGAAGAATTAATAATAATAATATAATATAACATCACGCCTTTTATCCCCAGAGGGGTAAGCAGAGGCGCACATTAAGGCACTTAATGCCACTGTACAATGTAACACCCACTTTTCACTATTTATGTTATGAGTCCCATGTAATAGGAGGTGAGCCTATTGCCATAGCCACAATTCCAGACTCCGTGCGCGACCCAGGAATCGAACCCGAGATCCCTGGTCCGGCAGTCGCACTTACGACTACTCGGCCAACAAGACAGCCGAAGCCAAACTGAAGAATTCTAAATTCAGAAATCAGTTTTCAAAACTGTCCAGCAGCTACAGCTACGTATCGTTCAACCGACAACGCAATGAAACTAAAAACTAATTTAAACTTAAAACCACTAGCAGTACAGGCGATTTTCGTAAAACTTCGCTGCCAGAAAAGCAGACAAAAATACCAATAAGAGGACTCAATTACACCTCCACACAATTTTCAAACATTCGAAATTCAAAATCCTTTCTCATTTAGGTGGTTCAATTTAAAATTTTTGATCACTATGGAACTTCTTGCAGTCGATGGCCATTCGAGGAGATTGCCTACTCAGTGTGATTGTCGAACTGATAATTTTTAGGTCTGTTTTTATTTGAACTAAGGATAGCGTGTTGGGTGCTTCAAAGTAGTAACTCCGTTACTATGACCTACTTGCAACTGTCTGAATAAATACTGAGTCAAATTAAATACGCCATTGAATGCAAGAGTGGTGTGGGGCTGGCGTTCGGTGTAATTGACTTAAAGGTGTCTTTATCTAGTAGTGCATTTCTTTCAGCTGGTAGTAATTAATTGACAATGATGATAAATGAACATCAATAGGCTATACGTGGCTACTGCTGACCAAAGGCCTCTTCTCAAACGGAGAACAATTATAAGCTTAGGTTTCCTCACAATGTTTTCCATCACCGTTAGTCAGTAGTGTTGAAATATTCTTAGAAATACATATAGCTCGGGAAAAGTCACATTGCTTACATACTTGCTATTGACAAGTTTCGCACCCTCAAGCTTGAGAAGCTGGCGTCTTAAGTCTCAGGCCACCACGACTCCCACCGGGCCACCACGACGTTAGATACCTAGTTATCTGTATCATGATAAATAAAAACTGCTAATTATTATATTTTTTCTAAGGCTCGTATCACGATCAGAAATGAATCATACTTCCCTTCAATTACGGTTTATTTTAAGAAGACCATTATAGAAATAGTGGTGGTTGAATGTTTACTACTCAAGTTTTATGGGAAGGTGACAAAATTTGATAGTTTGTTTATCCATTGCTAAGTTCTAAATTGCAATAAAAAGTTATACTGTCTTGAACTGTCATAGTTCATAGTGCTGTAGTGTTAATGTCTAGAAAAATGTGGTTATTGTACCATTCGTGGCCATGTAAATAAAAGCTAGCTGGAATGAAACAATATTAAACTTTTATAGCCTGCGATAAAACCACGAGGTTATACCAGCAAATAGCATTATTCTTATTACTTTTTTCGAAAACACACCTTATTTTTGCCACTTACATTATACTCATACCATAATTATAATATATCTGCATATCCCTCACACTGTCTCCCATATGGGTAAGCAGAGAGTATGTATGGAACGCCAATTGCTACGATTCTTATATACCTCTTTCGATTCATCAACAGTCATGTCTTTTCATGCATGCTCGTCGGTTAAGGGTACTTTACTAATCTGAGTACACATCATTCTCAATATAACTGTGAAATTATAGGCAAACTCAAGACCAATCTTTTTTATTACTGAGAGTTTTAAAATAAAGAATATTATTATGTCATCTAATTACGAGACGAGACGAGATTACGAGATGTTTAAATCGAAAATAGATAACACTGTGTGTACCGTGCAAATGCACATCGTATAGCATCGTCATCATTCGTCTGACATTCATTTTATTTTATAATAATAGTTATTAACGCGTTTAGCCATCACTATCACTGTTATTCACTCCACGACACAGGAGAAAATCCTAGTGTGGAGCAACGTTCTTTTTTAAAAATCAGGTCAAATCAATCAAAAAAAAAAATGTATCATACACTGTGGATTCTTAACCAAGGCACACCTAACCTACCTAATCACCGACTAAGCAACAACCGAGATAGCAACAAAATATAATCGTTGGCAATGAAATTTTTCACAGACCTCACCAGTAACGGAGGTGAGTGAGATGCGTAATCTTTGTAACAATGAGTACAGCTTTAGCCATAAAATCTTTTTGTTTTTATTTGTTTGTGGCGAAACAATGGCTGCCCGTTAATAACCGTGTTTAGATGTGATTACCGCCTGCTTTGTTTTTACGAGAGTTTTAATTTCAGCAGTCTTCGTTATCATGTGAAGGGAATTTTTGGTGAATTATTAGATTTTGTTGTGTTTGTAAGGGTCAAAATTAGATTTCGAAATATTTTTTTAATTAATTGCACCACTCATTTTCTTATGATGCATAGAAGTCAAGTCTATAATGTCATATATGAGAGATTTTACAGTATATTTTGTTCTTAAAGTTAACCTTAAATCGACTATCTAAAAAGCACACAGTAATTTCATTTCATTTCTAATACAGTACCAATTTTCCT